GTCTTTTTTGGTGAAGTGAAGCCACACTTTCGACCGCTTCTGTCTCTCCACCATTACGTCTTCTTTGTTGTTGAATGTACTGCTGACTGATGAGCATGACGTGCGTCATCGACGTAGAGATTCGGCGTAATGAAAAGAATCGATAAGGGAATCGTTAAACATAAAGGCTAATGATGTCGATGAATTGAACCAGTTCGAACCGGTTCTTAACAGGAACCAGTTTTTGATTCCCATCCCTAACCATGATGCCAGTCTAGTGGGATTTTGTGATAACCACACATTATAATTGCAATATTCAACTGAGTCTATACAAAAAGTTCCGAACACATTTTTAATTGACTGTATCAGTATGTTGTGCGTGCGCATTTCCAAATATAGAGACAAACTCTTGCTAAAAATTTAATTAAATTCTAAATTAATTTCTAAAAAACCTTCATGGGAGCCTATTTGTCACCGTTCATGTGCGGGAAGTGTGTGACACACAAAAGCCCTGATTGGCAGCCAGTGAGAGGGATGATAACAGTTAAAAGGAGAGAGCTGTGAGTGGGACGATGGATCGCTTTATTGTACGGAGCAAATTACAACAAAGCACCAGCGAAGACGACCGACCACTGACAGAAAAGAAAAAGAAACTGTCAGTAGACAGAATCTCGAAACCTACTTGTATTTTTCTTTTCTTATTTTTTAGTGTTTTATGTCGTGATAAAAGTAATAACATACATTGCAGAAGCTATTATGCACAGATATATATAAAGATGTGCCTTGAGATTTTTGGCTTGCCCTTTGGTGAGCCTTGGACATTTGAAAACCACTGCTCTACATGGCGTTGTATTACGTCGGTTGATACCTTAAAGGTATAGAGCACCATCCATCCAGGCTTTCAGCTAACTCCTATGTAAAAACATCTGCTGCAATGTTTGACGCTGAGAGCAGCTGTGTGAAGAGCAGAGCAGAGAGAGGTGGTGGATGGGTCAAACTATATTCTCACCAGGTAGTTTTGCTTCCTAATCAGTTTTATGCTGGGTTTAATCTGGTGGTGGCATTTAGAGAAATATCAAGAGGTCACCAAAGTCTGTTTACAGCTATCAGGTCAGGAGATCCAGTCCTCTGAAAAAGTTAAGTTTGGGTTCATGGTCAGGTCTCAAAAATCAGTCAGGATTTGAAGCAGAAAAACAAACTTCCTGTCAAAGTTTTCTCTGCATGTTGGTCACACACAGATGCATCAAAGGGCAGAGGGAGGTGAACTCGTAACATTCCGGACTGCGACCACAATGGGAACCAAACTGTGGCTTTTATAAATCTTTCCTCTCCTGTCGGCCACCCAGAGCGGCAGCTGCAGCAGCAGGGACACGAGATGAAAGTAGGTTAGTAAAGTAGGCTGCAGGCGAGCTGAGTGATGAAACAGGAGAGACACTGTTAGACCTGAAGTTATGGATGTGGTGACTATTTCCGTACCTCACAGGGACAGAAAAGGATTCACTCAGTTTTAACTGTGATTGTTAGATTCATCAGTCAGCTGACAGTAAAATGAACCAACGGCTGTTTAGATAATCAATTTATTTATAATCTATCAGACTTGATTTACATCTGTGTTTTGTGCGGTGCATTCACACAAAAGCAAAGTCTGTATTTTATTTGAATTTACTGACGTTATCCCTCAGGCATGATCTGCACAGTCATTTGTAACTCTACACCAAGGCTCACCAAAGGGCAAGTCAAAATCTCAAGGCACACCTGTATTTATATCTGTGCACAGTAGCTTCTATAACGTGTGTTCTTGCTTTCATCACGACATAACACAATAGAAATGAGAGAAAATATGACAGGTAGCTTTTGTGATTCTGTGTACTGACAGTTTTTTGTTCTTTTCTGTCAGTGGTCGGTCGTCTTCACTGGTGCTTTGTTTGTTCGTACGATAAAGCGATCCATCGTCCTGCACACAGCTCTCTCCTTTTAAATGTCATCATCCCCCTTCTGATGTGTCATGCACTGATAATTCCCACGTGTGAACGGGGACATATAGGTTCCCCTTGAATGAAATGAAATTACCTTTTTTGCCTCTTTATTGGGAAATGGGTGTGCAGAACATACTGATACAGTCGATTAAAGATTCAGACATAACTTTTTGTAAAGGCCCAGTTAAAGGTCATATGTATAGCTGTTTCATCAGAACTAATATTTTTTAAAAAAATAATACATCCATAGAACTTCTAGAAAGGTGTAGAATTAAAGTCTATATTTTCCTGAAAAAAATATGGTATATATGGTATATATATATGGTATATTTTGAAAGTCAAGCCAAGGGCCAATTAAAATTGGTCTGCGGGCCACAACTGGCCCCCGGGCCAGACATTGGACATGCCTGAACTATGTTAAGAAAAAGTTAAAACTTCAGCTATTATATTCAGATATTTTACCTAATACTCTAGAAACGGCATTTTTGGGACGGTAATGTTAGTTTTTTGCGGCTTGTTGTAAAACAGAGTTGTAAAAAGATACATCTGCTGAGTATATCAAATATCTAGTAAAGCCTAACTAGTAATGACACTGCACCTAGATGAACTATGTTAAATAAAAGCAAGGATGATGGTTAATTTCAGATATTTTAGTTCTCTAGAAATTGTGTTTTTGGGACTCTGGTTGTAGTGTTGTCAAATAGAGTCTTAAAAACGAAAATCTACTGAATATATCAAATATATAGTACAGCCAAACTATCATGTTATTATTATTATTATTATTGGTGGGAAATTATAACAGAGGAATATACTTGCCGTTATAAAATCAAGAACACTTTTGTGTTTTTGTGTGTATACAGGAATGTTGTTGAATCAGGGAATCCGTGTGTCCACCACGACAAAGGATTCTAATTGACTAATTACGTTAGCGTTAGTGACAAGTAAAGCTAAAAATGCTTTACAGAGATTGTGACAGTGTGTTACAGGGCGCACAAGAGAGGATTCATGATTTATTATTATTATTTTTTAATCACTGTACCACAAAAGACTCTTTACTTGACATCGCTGACATCGCATCTATCACCTTTAAATATAGTAATAATAATGAGTGGTTATCACAAAATCCTACGGCACACCTGGATTGGCATCAACACAGAAACACTGTACAGCGCCACCTGGGTGATCTTCAGTGTTAACCTCCTTTTTTTTTCTGCCTTTACCACAACCAACTCTGACACACATTGTCACACATCACCCATCTCATCATCTTTCAGATGGAGTTGAGCCTGCTTCCCTGTGAACAGGTCTCTGTGCTGCGTAGCACGATGAGCCCTCTGAACCCAAAATGCTTTCAAAACTTTCATTTCTAATCACCAGCCTCCGTTATCCTTGATTGATTGGGAAAGAGGCAGAAACGCAGTGTGGAGAAACCAAAATGTCTAAATATGACCCTAATCATATATATAGGCTACATTCATTTATATTTTGCACATGATTTAACCATTAAGGTGATTGAGTAGATAAAGTAGACCTTATGCCCTCTATACACTGTGCGATTTTAGCAATCTTATAGACCATTGCATGACACACTGTGAGATGTGGATCTAATAAACTTTGGTATGACGTCAAGTTTGATGTGTGCAGATTGTACAATGGCCGTTTACGACTGAATCGCAGGTTACGACGTACGTCAATATGCAATGTCATCAGCGTGCACCGCATCAGCGTACGTCATCCATCTGCGCCACCATAGGTAGCTTGCTCACCTGGAAGTTCCTCTGCAGTTTCCTTCCATGCAGCGTCTTTTTTCTGGCGGTCATGATAGCAGCTGGAGGAAACATCAAATCAACAAGGCTTCTGCTGCCACAGCTCCACCAAACTTTCCTCTTTCTGGGAGTTCCACACACTTCTTTTTGTTTGTTTTACCTCCATGGCAAGCGATTATTTGTTTGGGTTCAGCGCTGGTGTTGCGGTGACCATTGCATCAGTAGACGTAGGTCAAAGCAGCTGTCACACTGTGAGATAGTCATCCTAAATTTCTGACACCGTCAGAATTTTATCTCAGGTTATCTTTGGTCACAAGACGTTGACAACGGCCGTCCTTGAACCTGTCTCACAGTGCGATGTAAGACCACCGTTTTAGAACCAAAGATATCGCCACGTTTCTCCCACGATGGTCATCTTTCGTCTGGGACAGCCCAGAGTCGCACAGTGTATACCAGCCATTAGACTACTGAAGAGCCTTTCAGTAAGGTGAATTTCAGAAAAAAAGAATTTTGTACCCATAAAAAATCCCCCTGGCAATATGAACAAACAGTGATTTAAAGTTACACTAACAAAGATTTCTGTTTCAGTCTCTTTGGTGGCGCCTGTGGTGATAAGCGGTAATTGCAGTGTGTGTTTTGGCAGACCAAGTCCAGGAACCACGCTGTTGAATCTATTTATATCAGACATCCAGTTTCTAATGCTGTTCTGACAGTTGCATCCTCCATGCTGTTTTCTATCTGACCTCACACTGGCTGTTCCACCTGTTCTTTACACAGCCAGCAACCTACATGGTGATATGTACATGTAGTTCCATTTAGAGCTCTGATTATCCACATTTGGTAATCCTGAAAAGTTTGTATCTGGATCAGTGTGATCAGTCCAGTGCTGCTTTCAACAGCAGGTGCTAAATTAAGATGAATTAACTGATCCTGAACAGCAAAACATGGGATTTCCAAATCCAGATCATCCTGATCCAGATTAACTTTTTTTTTGGGCCCTGGGGATTGTCAATGTCTGGACAAACTTTCATGGTAATCTGTTCAGTATTTGCAGAGCTATTTCAGACCACAGTGGTGCTGGTGTTGGTACGGATGATGAACACCATTTAAACCTCCCAGTAAACCTTCATCGAACAGAGCGTGACGCTCCTGTACAGACGAGGTATTAGCCTCACCAGCAAGCATTCACCCCTAACTTTGGTTTCCATGGTAACCTGCGGTCTGTGCACTCTGAGCATTGATTTTAAAATGATGGTGTGACTGTGTCGTGTGACGTCACCTCTATATCCGGCCTGGCCAGCAGCAGGGAGAAGTTGATGCTGTCCTCTCGGGTCAAAATGGCCACAGCTTCCTCTCTGTTCTGAATATCCACTCCTTTAATCTGGAGGGGACGAGAGGAGGTCAGAGATCACTTACTTTATATTCATTAGATCATACATGTATGAATGGGGAGCTGGGTGACAGGATAAAGATTAGAAAGCCTTCATGGTGTTTTGTCAGCTGTTTCAAGCCCACATCTGTTATCCAACCAAAAGCACAGTCTGTTACATGTTTAATTACGTCACACACACACCGTCATTCACCTGTCACATGATCCTAAAACACGTATGAACCGTGTCACATGTACTGCATGTGTGATTTATTTTTGGTTGCACTGTGAGTAATGATGACAGGTCTGTTCCCCAAACTTGCAGGGAGACATTTCAGCTGTCCAGAGGGCCTTTATCTCTATGCTGACGGCTGTCGTGGGAACTGATGCTGACATCATTCACCTGCTGCCCGGTAACCATGGCGATGCCAGGTGCTGCCAGTCTATTCTTATCACATTCCACAACTTTACCTTTTTTTCCCCGACACTGTTTTGGCGAGGTCGACAGTCGGAGGGTCAGAGGATAATGAGCAAAGAAATGTCAGGGAGATAAATTTATTCACGCTCGTTTCTCATTGTCAAACTCTCAGAAGGAACCGTCAACACGTGTGGAGGTGTAGCGCCAGAGCAGAAAGAAAAACATTGATTCAACGGGATATAAAAAAGGTCAAACTCCTCATTAAACTACCAGTGACAGCTGCTTTTACAAAGCAATAAAAACATTTATGAAACTAAATCCTTTATATCATCAGATAATAAACTATAAGTGATGATTAAATTACCTGTGTCTCTAATTAATATGTTGGAATGAAATACGATTGATCAGCAGCAACGACATAGGTTGTATTGATAGTAAATAAAATATATTAACATATATGTTTGTACTCAAACACTCGTATTGCCACATCATGGTACAGGGCTGGCTCTAGACATTTTGGGGCCCTGTGCATCTGATCTGGTTCGGGGGCCTGTCATTGTAACATGTAACCATTGCACTGAACCAAATATTAGTTAAAGCACACATTATGTACAAATAAGCATGACTAAAGTGAGACACTTTAGCAGCACCGTTACAGTATCTTTATATAGGTTGTTTAAGGTCTGGAGGTGCAGCTGCCTCTCCCCCACAGGGCTGTAGGCTTCATAGGAGTGTTAAAATGTGTTTGTCTTGTTGTGTTATTGGGAGCCAGAATAGAAGGAGTCATGGCTCAAAACCAGCCGCCACTGCCCGTCAACAAAAACAAAGACAACTATGGTTAAATGTGATAAGACCAAAGGACTGGACGGAGGCCATCATCAAAAATGCTCACATGTGCAGCGCACACTTCATATCAGGTTAGGGATAAAGTATTTCCTGTTGTAGGGATTAATAAGGTTATGTGTATTAAGGGTTATCATGTCCACCTCATCAGAAACTGGGGAGGGATTAAGAGGAATATTGGATTTCTCTGCAACGCTAACTTTTTAGCACATTAGCTAACGTTAGCTTCCATAGCAAAACAAACAAGTGTGGTTCTCCTTTGTAAGATTGGCTTCCTGTGACATCATCCATCCACTGAGTGAGAGCATACGGGTCGGCCAGTCTGGTCCCGTTGGTCAGTGTTTACTTATTCAAGTAACACTGGCGGTCCCGGAGAGTGAGTGACCTGACAGTGAAAGCAAACAATTCTGTCCACACAATACTAAATTTGTTATTTTCCTCCGACACTTACTTTTTTGGATTGAATCCATAGCTAGGGAAACTGAAGACAAGGTTGGCGAAAGTGCAATTTCCTGCTGTAGATTGACTGACTAATGGACAGCTACTCGACAGAGACAACAAACTACCTTGACAGTATGGCCAAACACAAGTGTGATGCTTAAAAGCTGTGTGGACCTTGAGCTAATGACGAAGGAGAAATCTGGACCCCGGGGCCAGACCATTTGGGAAACACTGCTTTAAGGCCGTGACACACCAAGCCGACAGTTGGCCGTCGACCAAAGTCGGGCTGTCGCTGAGCGTCTGTTTGCCTAGTTTTTGCGGTGTGTCCCGCACCGTCGGCACTTCAGCGTCGGCAGCCTTTCGGCCGATTGAGCATGTTGAATCGGCGGCGGAGCTTGTCGGTGAGAGAGATCACTCTGATTGGCTGTTCAGGTTTTATTTCCTCGCCCCTGTAGCGAGTGAATCTGCCTGTAGTGAAACCGGGGCTAACCGGTGCTTCCTCCTCAGGCTCCACTTCACTCAGCTGCCCCACAGACCCGCTGCTTCTTCACACTTTAACCTGAATAACAAACCAGAGCTAGCTGGGAGCGGCTAGCAGAGCGTTAGCCGCAGCATGACCGGAGGGAAGCACAGCCAGTTAGCCTCCGCTAGTCTCTGAGCTAGCCCCGGCTCTCCGTTTGGATCCAACCGGAGCACCGAGCCCTGGTTTGTTATTCAGGTTAAAGTGGGAAGAAGCAGCGGGTTTATCAGCAGCTGAGTGAAGTGGAGCCTGCGGAGGAAACACCGGGACCGTCTGGATGTAATAGTCCGTGGAGGTGCTGCGGTGCTCGGCTGCACAGATAGGAAACCCCTCGGCTGACAGGATGTACCACTCTCTCACTCCGCTCTCTCTCACGCAGGCGCAGAACGTACGTGCTTCTTGGCCGTCGGATGTAGTCCGTGTAGTGTGTTCAAATGCAACTGACACAGGGCGACGTGAGGCGACGTAGAAAACGCAACAGTTGGCTTTCGTCACTGCTAGTTCTTTGATATCGGTTTGGTGTGTCCGCACCTTTAGGCTACATCTGCATTCCTGGTGCCAACAGTAGTTTTGCTAAGTTTCATTTCATCGTTGTAAGTCTTCTATCTGCCTTTGGACACTTGGAAATATATCTCTGTACACCAGTGTCCTCCCTCTCATTGGACTGGTGATTGATTACCTGCATTGATCAGAGCTGGGATCATTGCGGCGGCCCAGTCAGAGCGCCGTACGCTGTCTCACCCTCGCTCTACAGTTTAGGGCAGTTCTCATCATGGGGGCGTGTCACATATAGTTCAGGGTGCAAGGTGTGTATTACGAAGATAAACTTTCAGGAGGTGAACATGAGCTGGTTCACTCCTGCGTAAGATGAGTTTATTTAATGGAAATACTGAATGAACAGTGTTACCGTGGCTTCTATTGTCTGACAAACAGCTCAACAGTGTGGTGGTAACACCGGGTGATGACGTTGTCTCCCCCTCCATCTCTCTCCCTCTCTCTCAGTCTATTTTTAGGACGGCAGTAACTGGGCTGCTGACAGCTCTCTCTCATTGGATAAGACCGTCCCCGGGGTTCCATGTAGAAATTTACATAGTTTGATTTGAAACTGTTTCTAACCCTCATACAGCCGGTTAGTTTATCAGAGGACGAGTTTCAGTCTGCGGAACATGTTCTTTAATTTACACTGAAGGTCAACAGTCAACATTGATGACTACAGAGTCTCCTTTATCAGTCAGTGTGTTAAAGGTCCAGTTTGTAGGATTTAGGAGCATCTACTGGCAGATAACTGTGTTAGTTTATAATCACCTGAAAATTAAAATAGTTGTTTTTTGTCACGAAGAATGAGCTGTTTATAGGCCCGTTTCCACCGCAGGAACTTAAGGGTAATTTTATGGGGCCGGGGCCGTTGGTGCGTGTCTCCACCGCAGGAACCACCCCCGAAGGACAGAGTTCTGGAACTTTTACAGGGGCTAAACAAGTCCCTGCCTCAGGGTAGGTACTCAGAACGGCCCAGAGAAACTCCTGGCTGGGGCTTGGAGATTCCTTGGTGCTGATTGGATATACTCAAGACGGGATGTGACGTCAACAGAAAGCGACAAAATAGCCGGCATTTTTAAAACTCAGCAGACAAGGGTTAGCTCGTTCATAGCTTCAGTAACTCAATAAACGGTCCGTGAAAAAAGTATTTTTTCCAGCGGATATCTTGGTTACAACATGATTGAGCTAGCAAAGCAGTTTTGTGTTGCTATGTGTGGTATTTATTCAGTTCTGGGAAATCACGATGTCTAGAAAGCATCAGCTGACAGGGACAGCTAACACTAGCAGCAAAGCTAACATCAGGACGTCATCTGTTAAAAGCCTCCCGTTGTCGGATACGACATGAAACTACTCCAGTTAGCTCAATCATGTTGTAACTAAGACATCCGAAAAAAAAAAAAAAATTCACGGACCGTTTATTGAGTTACTGAGTATTACAGACACCGCTAAGGGCTAACAGCTAACGACATCCCTACGCCCCTACGTCGCCCCGGTCAAAATGGTCGCGCAACGATTTACATCACATCCAGAGCCTGTAACTTTACAGGAACCTTCCTCCTATCCGCTCTCTCAGTGGAGACACGGTGGTTGAGAGGGCCGAGCGAGAGTACGTTCCTGTAGTAGTTCCTGCCCCCCAAATAGTACCAGGAACTTCTTCAGTGGAAACAGGCCTTATATCCATATAATGAACGGGTCCTCGTCCATGAAGTCAGCCATGTTGTTTCTACAGTAGCCCAGAATGGACAAACCAAACACTGGCTAGAGAGAGCCATTCATGTAATTGCGTAAACCACCATAGTTCTCCTCTATGCTTGGCCCACAGGACAAGTTTCAGTTCTGCAGCTTCACTGCCAGGTGCCACTCGGGCCCCGATCACAGAAAGTGTTTCAGCAGCTGGAGGCGGTTTTATGTAATTGTTTTCAATGAGAATTAAGCTTTTTGCTTGCTGTTTCTGCGTTGCGATACACCTTGTGTTTCTACGCTCTGAACTCCTTGAGTTGAAATAACTTCAACCCAGAGCAGAAAAGCGGCCCACGTCATCTCCTTTTTTCCCCCACTGTCCAATCTGATGGTCAGGACAACAAGTTTACAGTTGGTAAACAATGGAGGAGAAACTGGCGGTAGTGGTTGCCTCTAGTTATAACCATCTCAGTAAAAAAACAGCAGGCGTGGGAGCAGATAAGTGCAGTACTTGAAATGTCCATGATGGAGGAGAAGCTCCTGGACCAACTGGTGGTACTCCCCATGATCCAGCCTCTTTTTTAGGGTCTCATGTACCCACACAGTTCTCTGTTTATCTGCTGACAGCATCTCAGCAAATAGATACTGATTACTGTGAAATTAAAAAAATAAACGGTAGACTGATTACATGGAAAAGGTTAGGGTAAGGAGGTGATGGGGTGGTTGCCTGGCAACAATAAGTAGTCCCTCTCCAGTGCCTCCTTGTGGCTTTGACAAATAAATTAATAAAAGAGAATTTAACATCATCATTTTCATTTGTTATTGTTGTAGGCCTAAAGAAATTAAAATAGCAAATTTATATTTTATTTTATATTTCGAAATAACAATAGTGATAGTAAGAGTCAGAGGTGTTCCTCTAACCTAACCCTGATCCAAGTACAAAGCTCGAGTGTGAAACATTTTAATACTTAAGAGAAATTTTCTGTTTTGGGGTTTTTGATGAAAAACATTATGTGTAACCAAAAGTTGTGAAATATCCAGATCTTTGGTCACTTGTAAAAACAGAATAACCACAACAGAGTCTAAATGAGTGTTTGTGTACCTGCAGGATCCGGTCGCCCTCTCTGATGCGTCCGTTCTTGGCTGCGATGCTGTTTGGATTAACCTGATATTAAAGATAAAAAAAAAAAAAAACGGTTGAGGAATAGATGGATGAATAAATGACCTCATGAATTAAGAAACAGATAGTAATGACAGAATGAATCCATGAGTGAGTTAATTGGATGACTGAATGATTCAAAGGATAAGATGATGAATAATGTGATTAATGGATAGAAGTAATAAATAAATGAACAGGTGAGAGAATATATGTATGAGAGGCTGAATGAAGATCATTAATCTAATGGCTGAGAGATGCAGTGAGCAGCAGTCACACCTTCATGAGCTGTAATAATCAGTCATCATCAATTTATTATTTTTCCAAAATAAATGAGTAAAAACAAAAATGAGTCAGCCGGAGCCTGAAAAAGGAAGAGTAGGATGAGGGGATGAAGGCTAAATATGTGTCACCTCTCCAACATAAATCCCGAGATCCTCCTCGTCGTCCGTCCTGTAGCAGACTGTGAGCCCCAGCTTCTCCTGCTGACTGGATTTGTACAGCTCCACCTCCTGAAGGGACAGGAGCAGAAAGAAGGACTGATGGTCTGAGCTGGTTTTTGAAGGACAGCTGGTCTTTAGGAGGTCTTCAGACCAGAAAGTGGGACAGCAAAGTTCAGTACACCTCCCAAAACAGGAGATGGTAGAGGCTCAGTGGCGTAGTGACTACTCACAGGGCCAGGTGGTGAACTATTGTTGGTGGAGACCTGGAACTGAGTCAGCATTTTTGCACTCTGGGTTCCCTCGTCTCAAAGTCAGTGGGTTTTTGATTAGATGTCTGACATAAGGTCTGTGGTAGCACAAGCTGAAGAGACATTCACGTTTGGTCTACAAGGTATGAAACTTTTATGCATCTTAAAGGGAAATTTCAGTTATTTCAACCTGTCTCCTATCGTCCTAAATTTGTTTCAAGTGACTAGTGACATAAAAATAATAGTTAGCATGTTATCCGTTAGCCTAGATACAGCCGGGGCGCATAGTAGCATCAGACCTGTTAAAACGTAAGTGAACGTACGTGAGCGAGCTTTAGATAAAGCCCAGCTGGATACTACTCCAGGTGGAGGTGTCTCGTCCTCGGTCACATCCAGACCTTGACAATAAGGCTGCAACTGGTCCCATTCCTTGCAACAGAGGCATTCCTCTTCTGTGGGCACTGGGGCACAGCATTCACAGGTACACCACCAATCTCCAGAGCTACGCAGCCTTGCAGCAGCCATTCCTCCTCTCTCGTCCTCTAC